GTGGAAATGAAAATGCCTCATTAAAATGTTAAAAGAGAAATTTTATCCGCCACTCCTGGTGAGATACCAACTAGAAGTGAACAATCCAATGACGCAATCTATTGATATTCCACATAGATCAGGAACTTCAGAAGCAATCAGAAAGATTCTCGGTGATTTCAACATACACACATTCTTTTGAGTTGACAACACTCTGAAACGCCATCTCATGAAGGCCAAAGATCCGGTCGAATTGCAAGATCAAAATAACTGGATTTAAAAAATCAGTTGTAAAGATTTCCCCGCAGAATACATTGGACAGATCAGTGGACAACACAAGACAAGAATAACCGAACAAAAGACAAAGGAAAAACATCGGCCTACGGACAAAGTGACCCTGGAATAGCTGGAACGAACCTCAGCGATCGATCTTTACACCAGAACCGAAAGTCACACTATAAATCACGATAACTCGAAAGTAATCCCGCTCGGATTTCGAACACGCACTGAAAGCTCGTATGACGAAACTTTGGCCATTTACACCCAATTTGCATACGTCAACAGAAACGAAGGGAATCCAGATCCGGAGCATTGGGACTACCCGAACATCCCTAACGGGTGATCGCGATAAAGGTCACGGTGAAATTTGATCCCATCTGGTAATGGGCGTTAGTATGACAGACAACAGATCATTCAGTCCACCGCACGGATTCATACACACCCACCAAACCACACCACGAGCACACACACGACGAAGCATCCGTTGACTTGTGATCCTTTCCTGAGTTATTTATTTTAAAACCTTGAGAAAGGTTACCAACAGTAACCCAAAACGTGGACAAATATAATACCCTAACGACATCGCGGTGCCATTGACATTACAACTTTCACAATATAATACAAATGATATTTCCAAGGTATTTCCAGGTATTGGCATTCAAATATACGCGTCGCCGGCAAAATATTTCCAACTAAAAGGTTTTGCCTCAGGAATTTTTCCCTTAGTCTTTCTAAGCATAATTATTTTATTGAAAGGATAATTATCAGTAAATGAAACAGTATTATGCATCTCTGAAAAAAGTATCAGATGGAAAATCTTTCAACGATATCATTCCTCGGTTTCAGTTTGTTTAACCAATAACCATGCACTTTCGTGCGCCGGTTTTGGTTGCTGTCTCTTGGCTGCCCATTCGAATAAAGCAGTAAGAAGTGAAAGTACAGTCGAATAGAAAATGGATAATTTCATTGGACTAATGTTACAAAGAAATTAAGCAGATGGATGAACCGCTGATTACGACACTCATTGTCTCTAACGGGACCTATGTGACCCAGTTAACTGGTTAGGGTTTTCATACCCCGGTGCCAGGTCTTAGCTTGACCACACTTGACTTTATTCCACCCACTACCTGCCTCAACAAACATCGCTAGCCATGGCACCCTATTTAGTGACATGCATAACACATGTCCCAACCAACGTAATCTATGGAGGTCGACCACTTGCTCCAGT